TAATGACAGTTTTTGACAGATTGCACACAAGTGATTGAAATTCAATGTGTATTAATTGAGCTCCGACGCTTGCTAATTTATTTCTTTACTAAAAGCTTATGTGAATGACGAGTCTTCGATGGTATCTGTTGGATTTATTCACAACTTTTTTTACACTCGTCGTTTCCCTTTTTGTGTCGCAGGGTTGCTATCCCTTTGACGTTACTTTTTTAGTATTCACACTAAAAAGGCAGATAATTAGAATAAATAATGTCATTGAATGTGTGTTTGCTTAAATATCGGTATTGTACTGAATATGAACGAACTATTAACCATATGACATTAAGCAATCAAAAGTTGATTAAAGTTAGACATCTTAATATTACATAAAACCCAAAGGAATACAATATCCGAAACATTGCCTTTGATGATATTTGTTTAATGTATTTTTGAAATCCAAAATATATCTGTTCTTAAACAAAATAAACTAAGATTAGGATTTTAACGTCCATATAAGCATATTAGTTTTATTCAAAATATTGTATTATAAATATTTTTGCAAGTAACTATTACTGAAAATAACATTTAATGAATATGTTTCATCCGAAGAGCTTTCAGCACCTACCTTCATGGTATTCGCCTAATAGTAAAGGTTTCGCTAATGACATACATACTCTAAGGGATATATTTTGATATTAGATGCGTAATTGATGAATTACCTTATTGTTTTTGAAAGAAAAAAAAACTCATTAAAGATACCAAGCTTACATTTTTGTTCGACAAAAGCGCTTTTCGTCTACACAAGTCTCATCATTGATGCTCGAATCATGATAGTTTTCAGGCCAAAGCATTATGAAGTTGAAGAGCATTGAGTCAACAGAATTCTAAAATGTTTTCCAAAATACGACTATGGTAATCTATGCCTACGTTAGAAATCCTTAGTATTTCGAACAATCCAAAGTTTTGTAAATAGTAAATTTATATAAAATGACCGATCAATGATATTTCTTAACCACACAGAAATGCTGACTACTGGGCTGGAGATACCCTCGGTGGGCAAAAATTCCACCAGCAGGTTTACAATTTTTACAGGCTTTGGCTGGTTTGTTTTGCTCTGTTGATACCTTTTGGTTATTACGCACTGAAATATTCAAATATGTCTCAAAGTTATCAAAAGGGTTAAGGCTGTTTCTTGTATTCAACCAAGAAGCAACCGGATCCATAAAACGAAATGTTCGTGTTAAGTTTAGTCTAATCAAAAAGTGACACATCTGTTCATGCGTTTAATATATGTAATCACCTGCTCATTACTGTATCTCTTTCAAATAAAGTAACATTTTGATATTACAATGACAAGGAGTAAGACTGAGTATTGACATAATTTTTTTACGCCGCAACATTTTATTGCGCCCGTCTCAAGACAGGAACCAGGTGACTAGTTGTCTTTGTTAATATGTAAGTATTGTTTCTGCAAATTTATTAATTGTTAATAAAAATCAATTACAACTTGTCTAGACTCTGAACTACTTACGATATGAAATTATATATAGATGCTTGCCATGTGTATGTTAAACTCTATATGTGATTTAGTTTTTAAATGTTATTGTGTCTGTTGACTGCTGTCTCATCGATGAAGGCCCGTAGTTATGACGGGGAATAAATAAAGTACTCCTTTTATTCCTTATCTGAAACAAACCGTGTATTATTTTAAACGATATAATTATGTTACATCATCAATCGAAGACACAATAGTTCAAGATTTTAGGGGCCATATTACCTTAACTCCTGCTGAAAATTTCGAATTAGATTTGTATCAGTAGAGCGTGTTTCTTCTTTTGTTAACATGAATGCAAAGAAATTGGGAGTTCTTTTAAATTTTGAAATATGAATCGTGTGATGATTGCTAGACTCAAGCTAGCAGCACCTCGCTAGCAGCCATTCCGCCAGCAGCCAGTTTTCAGATATGCATATAAACCCAAAAGTTGCGTAAGATTCAAACTTACTAAAACGTTTTTATTTTATATAACCACTAAAATATCTGTTTTAACTAGAATTCTATCATTTAGTTATCCATACTGAGCTAAAAGTTCAGTAAAAATCACATCAATAGAATAACTTAATCTGTTTCCCCGGAAATAAAGACATTGATACCATTGATAAAAATTCAAGTTGGACACAGGTGCTGCTTGTATGGATACCATGCACAAATTAGAAAATATTGAATAGCTTGCAAGTAAGTATACAAAAACAAGTAAAGGGTGTATAAAAAATCTTATAAACGCAGGCTAAAAGTTGATACTTATGGCCTTTTCAGGTAAAAAAAACTTGATATCAGACTGGGAAATCGCAAATCAATATAGAACCCGTCACATATCTTTAAAGGTTAACATTATGTTATTTCATGTTTTTTCATTAAGAAAAATTCTTGAAAGTTTATTGTCATACTTGTGAACGAGTACGATTAAACTGAGTATGAAATATTTGCCGCTGAACTAAATTGACATTAAATTAATTATCGTTAATTCAGTTAAGACTTTAGGGGTAAAAGCATTTAATGCAAAATAAATATTTCGTCTATCAACTATGGGAACCCTTTGCTTATCCTAAAAAAAATATAAATTTTCTAACATGGTTTACAAATTAGAAAAGTCCTAGTTAACAAGGAATGTATTTGTAAATTATACAATTTCGACTTGGCTTCTTTATGGCAGATCCTCAGCTAGCAATACAAAAGAACAGACCAAACATAAAAAGTAGTATAAAACAATGTCAAATGCGTCCTGTGAATACTATTGATATGAGTTTTTGATAAAATAAAAATCATCTATTTGGTCACTTATCAATTCAAACAATATTTGCATATTAAGAACTACACTCAGATTGGAATATGATGGCTTGTTTGAAGCATTGTCAGAGTGGGTTTAATTAACAATGTTATGAAACTTCTGTTGAGTACCATGTTTAAAATGAGTATGTATTTTATACATTCTTTTAGTAATTACCACTTCTACTTAATTGAATTTATGACATTGTTAATTTTATTCAAAAATTGATATTTGTGTTCTCTCCCGAGATTGTGATTTCCCGATTTGGACAGAAATATCCGTTTTGTACTAAGAGGGCAAAAACATACAAAATTAATATTCGAACATAAGTAATGTGCAGAAGCTTTTGAAACATTTTTCAGCACAGTCTGACGTATATCTCGGAAATGCAGTCAATAAAGTGTCGGACAGTACGTCGGGCACGTTGCAATGTTAAAAGCGGTGACCCGTTCTTGTTTGTTCTTTCTTTGTAAATTCATCTGGTGTTATAAGCTCTTTAACCATCTAGCTACCGGAGGCACACATGTGCCCACACCAGCTATGCCAGAGGGAAACATATGTTCATACGTTTAATGTATACATGCAAGCATCTGTTCATTACTGTATTTCTTTCAAATAAAACATTGAATATTATACAGTGTAATGTTTTTTCTTAAATGGGCCTCCAATGTAACGTTATTAGGACGTAACGTCATTTATCGAATAGTGTCAAAGTTGGGCCATGTGACGTTACAGACGTCTAATTGCTGTATTTTCTGGGACATGAAATGTAACCATATTAAATTAGCGGTAGCAAGAGGGTTTAAGGTCAATGTTTTAATCTTCAGCACAAGTGTCATTTTCGTGAACGAAACCACTGTTGACGCTTGCCGTAGACGACATTTTCAGAGAGAGAACATTCAATATACTTTTGCCGTAATATAACGTCACACTGACGTCATGGATATTACGTCATTGCCTCAATATAAACTTAGATGATTGCTGGTTATGATTATAGTTATATAGCATCAAATATCTAGTGCATTAAGTTGCAATGTTATGATTTATAATGTTCACCAATTGCAATTTATGAAACGACATATATGTCGCCTTGGCATTAAACCCCCAAACGACATGTATGTCGCTTTGGCATTAACACTGAAACGACATATATAAAAAGAGGTTCACGCACGGCAAGGCTTTCATCCAATCGAAGTGTTCAATTGATTTTAAACATTTTCCCGTCAATTTGGTTCAATCGTTTCTGAGAAAATGAAAATATGATTTATTACTAAAATCAGCACCAAATAAGAAAACGGACGCTATTCATGAATCATGAGTGTTTGGAAACTATGACAAGTAATTTAAGAGGGAAAGATAAGAATATGAAAAATTACCAACCAATGGGAGCTAAGAAAGGTAATTGCAACAGTTCAAACTGTCCCTTTGGACCAGATAAAATATATCAGCTGTATAGAAATGAAATAGATTTACAGGAAATGAAATGATTGATGTAGGTAAAGAAGATTTCTCTTATGGTTGTGTACTGTTATCTATTTCTTGCATTAATAGACATTTCTTGTATCACACTGCACAGAGTGTGATACGAAATATGCGTTACTTTGATTGACTTATCCAGCATTATGAGACGATATTACGACATTTCCATTGACTATTCGTTAGGTCATTGATAACATTCAAGGGCCCGTCCATGGCAACGGACCTGTGATTTCCTCAAAAATATACAATACTGTCACATTTTTCACCTGGAAATCTTCTTTTTGTCAAATTTTATTACATTATGAAGCGTACGAAAAGTTTTAAAATGTCTGATGTTAAAGTTTGACAGAGGAAAAGGACATGACGTCATACTGGTATGTGCAAAAGACTAGATCAACGATTCGCGGAATTTCTAATATAATACAATGAGGGTATTGACCATAAGAGAAATAGAATTAACAACTCGTGAGAATTGGATCAACTCTCTTATCTAATTTATTAATAAATAGATGTAATAAACTCTCGCCACAGGCTCGTTTATTATTATATTGAACAAAATAGTTCGAGTCGATATCACGCGATATCCAATTCTCACTATTTATGAAACCTATAAATATTAATTTGTACATAGAAACCTTGAGTATGAAGATATCAAATACTTTGTCACCAAATACACTTTAACGACCTAAAAAGTTTCATTTCATTTTTATTTTACAGCAAAAATGGGTATTTTGAGTACACAACTTGTACTTAATATATCCCTTTATTATATCAACGCAACAACCTTCAAAGAATGATTACTAAGATGCATAGAAGAGACCAATACACCTTGTAAATAATACAGCGTTAACCAAAAGTGCAAAGGCGGCCGTCAATATCAATGAAAACATGAGGAAACAACGCAATTTCATGTGTTTTATTTTTGGGTTTTTTCTCTTTATGTTTGTTTATTATGCAAACTATCAGCATATTCGTTTAAATAAGTACGAAGTGTCAGACGAAAGGCTATTTGAAAAACCTGACTTAAGAAATACCAGTGCCGCCTTTTTAGTAGATACCTCTGCTTGCAAAATCCCGCATATAGGTCCGTTTGATAAGTCAGTGAAGCGCATGCTAAAGAATGGAACAGCATTAAAGTGTGCCGTAATGGATGATCTAGTATATTCAAATGGAAGTACTATATTTATTAATTGGAAAGCTGTTAATAACTCGAAATTTAAAAATAAAATGAAATACTGCAAATATGAAGTCATTTGGAGACCATATAATGAAATGCAAGACCACAACTATTTAAAATTCATAAACGAAAGTAATGAATTTGTAGATCGTATTGATATATCAGATGAATTCGTTCGTGTAAAATGCTACACTGGAGCTGGTCTAGACTTGTATACAAATTTCTTCGCTTTTGTTCATTTAAAAGAAGACGTCGAAGATAGATGTGAAAAAAATTCCATAAAATTTGCAAACACACAAAATGAACAGTTAAATATTTTGATGTTGGGTGTAGATTCGATAGCTCGAAATAATATGTTACGTTATATGAAGAAAACTTGGTCGTATTTGGTAAACAAAGTCAACGCCATAGATTTACTTGGCTATAATAAAGTTGCTGATAACACTTTTGTAAATATAGTTCCGATGACAGCAGGACAATATGTCGATCAGTTACCATGGAACGAATCAATAAGGTGGACGCCAATGGACAACTACAATTTTATATGGAATAATTATTCTGCAAAGGGGTATCGAACTTTTTATGCTGAAGATCATCCTGATATAGCAATTTTTGATTTTGGGAAATCTGGTTTTAAAAAACCTCCTGGAGATTACTTCAATAGGCCTTTAAGTATTGCTATGGAAAAAACTAAAGAGGTTTGGAATTCTGATCATTATTGTGTACACGGGAGAATAGAAACTGATATAGTTCTAGACTATTTGAAGAATTTTGCGAAGATGTTTCAGTCTAAACCACATTTTTCCTTCTCATTCATCACAAGGCTAACACATGCATATCTTGAAGAAGCATACAAAGCAGATGAAATCTACCTTAAATTTTTCAAAGACATGTTTGAAAGCGATAACTTAAAAAACACAGTTGTATTCTTTTTTAGTGATCATGGGATGCGTTTTGGTGATGTTAGAGAAACTTTTGTCGGAAAATTGGAAGAACGTCTTCCTTTTATGTTGGTTGTATTCCCTCCATGGTTCCTAAAAAAGTATCCAGATATTCAAAGAAATTTACAGATAAATACTAGAAGACTTACAACTCCTTTTGATATCTTTGCCACATTAGAACATATTCTAGATTTCAATGGAGTTCAAAAAAATGAAGTGAACAAGCAAAGATCAATGAGCTTGCTTGATGAAATTCCAGAAGACAGAACCTGTGACGAAGCTGATATCCTACCTCATTGGTGCACGTGTTCTAAGCATGAACCTTTAGATATTCAAAATAAGACAGTTATCAAAATTGGTCATACTTTGGTATTTAAGATTAATCAAGATTTAAAAGATTCCTTTGACGTTTGTGAAAAATTATACTTGAAGTCTATAAAATATGCTCTGCGTGTTATACCGTCCGACAAAGTGCTTCGATTCGAACAGAGCAAGAATGACGTCATAGATAGGAAAGTTATATACGGCGATCGAGTTGAGTCTTATATTGATTATCAGATAACCGTACAAACAAAGCCGGGAGATGCTGTCTTTGAGGGGACATTACGGTACGACGAGAAAGGAAAAACATATAACTTAGTAGGTGATGTCAGTCGAATAAATAAGTACGGTGATCAGTCACACTGTATTGAACAACATCATCTTAAAAAACTTTGTTACTGTAAAATACAGCTATAGAATGTCAAATCAGTCGTTTTGTATAATTAGATTAGCAAATCTCGCAACAGCACAATTAAGTTAAATGCAGCTAAAAAGTAAACAAAAATCATGAAAGAAAATGTAACAAATTAAGGAACCCAGTATTTTACCGTTGTTCAAATCTCACGAATCCATTATGAAGACACACCCATTAACAATGTTTTCGGAAAAAAATGACTGATGCTTTTAGTCGTTTTTGTAGGGCTTTTATGTTTTATACTGCAAAGAGTTTTGTTTATTGGACCCTCCAAACGTCTGGTCTCCAACTTGATCTGAAGAAGCATGAGTTTTGCACACTTAACTCCGTATCATATGGTCTATATTTCGTTTGTTTGAAAGCAGCTGTGTCTTACTAGTATGCACATATAAAAACATAATATTCATTAAGAGACTGGGTTACAAGGTTTGGCTTTCCCTTAGGTAGTTTAAAAAAAATTGCTACTGTAAAATACACCCATAAATCAGTCGTTTTATTTCAAAAGATCACCACCGCCCTCAGTCATACCATAAAGTGAAACAAACATTATGTAAAAATGTACCAAAATATAGTAACAGTTGATTACCAATGTTCAAATTATATGAATTATTAAGAAGAGAAACACCGTTTACGGTTTATCTCTCTAAGGAAAAGTTGACCTCTGATGAATTTGTCCTTTCTGTTAAAGACTTTAATGTTTTATGCTAAACAAGTCTTGCACACCTAACTGTGTGTCAAAGTGTCTATATTTTATGTGTTTAAAAGCAGCTGTGTATTACTAGTATACGTAAATAAAAACATAATCTTCATCTTAAAATACGTTCCATAGGAATACCAGTCTAAGTTCTTGTTTTCCCTTCATTAATTTTTAACGCATTTAACTTTGGCAATGGATCTCGTAACATTGTTAAGACAAATATATTATTTTATGAGGAAAATGTCAGAATCTGCTTACCCTTCCGGAACACCTGCAATCACCTCCGTTTTTTTGTAGGGTTCAAGTTACTCAGTCTTTAGTTTTCTATGTTGTGTTTTGTGTACTGTTGTTTGTCTTTTTGTCGTTTTTCATTGCTTGCTATGGCATTGTCAGTTTGTTTTCGACTTTGAATATCCTTTTAGAACAACACTTTTAGATACATTTGTCTAAATGCATCACTTAAAGTATTTCATGAGACGTAACAATTTTCAGGAAAACAGAAAGTTGTATATATATATGTAACGCTTCTTTAAAAATTGAAATAGACTAATGGTCTTTATATTATGATAAGCATACTCATTGATATGACTTGGCGAATGTTCATTATTACTGACAGGTGTATACTGTTGTTAAGAAAATAATCTGAAATCTTGTTTACACTATTTAGATGTCGGTCAATGCACTGGACCAAAAACAATCCTTTATTTTTATTTTATTGAAAATTAATGCTTTGCATATAATGACAGTTGATTAAAAAAAATGTTTAAATTACGCAAATTTATGACAATTTGACTTGTACAAACTAAGGAGATCTGGGATGCTTGCCAATGAGACAATTGTCCACAAATGACTACAAGAAGAGGATTAACAAAAATAGGTCACTGTATTGCCTACGCTATTGATACTCATAACGTTTAGTGAACTGTTACTAATATGTATAGAAAGAATATAGATCACAACACAACCCTCGCACAAATATTAAACAATAGGTACCTATTCATTGTCTTTTGGTCGTTTTTCGGTTTTTTGCTATGACGTTGTAAATAAAGGCAACAGTAGTATACCGCTATTCGAAATTCATAAATCGATTGAGAAAACAAAATCCGGGTTACAAACTAAAACTGAGGAAAACACATCAAATATAAGAGGAGAACAACGACACAACAGAAACTCAACACTAAAATGCAACACACACAGAAACGAACTATAATATAACAATGGCCATTTTCCTGACTTGGTACAGGACATTTTAAGAAAAAATCATCGTATGAGTTTGAATATTACTTTTGTATCATCCCCCGCTATTCTTTTATTTTATTCAGGGATTTGAATAAGGAGTAAATCGATACAAAACAAAAAGTAAAATAACAAAAATACCGAACTCCGAGGAAAATTCAAAAACGGAAAGTCCCTAAGAAATGGCAAAATCAAAAGCTCAAACACATCAAACGAATGGATAACAGCTGTCATATTCCTGACTTAGTACAGGCATTTTCTTATGTAGAAAATGGTAGATTAAACCTGGTTTTATAGGTAGCTAAACCTCTCACTTTTATGACAGTCGCATAAAATTCCATTATATTGACAACAATGTGTGAACAAAACAAACAGACATGATAGGTAAAAATGTCAAAAATAGGGGTACAGCAGTCAACATTGTGTTATTGTGTTCGATACAATAGGTTAAAAGACAAGCAGCCATACAAAAAAGTAATCATTATACTAAGTCTACTTGGGCCTCTTGTAACGCAACAGTGGGACCAGGGTCTTTATTTGCCATCCAAACCTCTCGTTTTTATGTTAAACATACAGATGATTGTAACATTGCAAGGAAACTATATTGCGACACTGTAAGTTATGGTAGAAGAAAATTATAATAGAAGCTTACAAACGTCAGTGATATCGGTCAACGAATTTATTAATTATTTTCATTGATAAGACGACAAAGGACTAGCTTAGATGTCTTAGTATCTTCCGCCTTTTTCTTAGATTATAAACAACGAAAATATATTTGAAAAAATTTTGGTGGAAAATAAGATTTGATATGATTGTACATAGCATTATCAGAGTGTACATGTCCTTGTAACACACCTTTGTTATCGTGCTTAACACCCGCATTTCGCCTACTAATATTTAAACCCTTAACTGTTGCACGTTTCTGAATACTAATACATGTAATGAGTTTAGTTCTACTCTTATTTATCCGAGAAACGTCTGTGATGAAACAACTTATTAATTCAATTTACATGCATATACAGCATATGGATTTTATGTCACGATTCTTATATCAACAACACTTTAGGGATTAGTGCAGTATTTTAATGAGATCGACATATGCATGTTTCGATGCCTGGGCGTTGGTTCACTTTCGTCATAAAATATGCAACTGTAATTATTTAGTTATTGTCATCAGTCTTAAAACGTTGACAACCAAAACAAATCAGACGTTGTTACAGTTTCTCTATATGTGATTTGATCAACTTTTTTAGAAAAAAATATTTTGTTGTCAAGTGTCCATACCATATTTCAAGGTCAAAATCATCGAACGAAGATCAGCGATCAACTTGGAGGCAATTTAAAATCGATAAAAGCGTGAATAAAGTCAACACTCACTAATAAGTTCGCTAATTCCTGAGTAAAGAACATTAGCATGGGCGAGGTTAAACTGGGCTTGTTAACACTTTTACTTTTACATTTTGTTTAACCTTTAGATAAAATTATTAAAATTATTTTAAAACTTCAATAAAACTGGATTATTCAGAATATAGATGATCAGATGTATTATATCAGAAACATTGTCTCTAGATATTATGATTAATGTTGTAAATTTGTGCTTCAATGCATTACTTGCTTATACATATTCTTCGTCATGTCTTAGGCAAAGCTGTTTTTTAATCCTTACTACCGTATAACATTTTGGTTCACATGACCTAAAGTACCAATTTTGGGTATCGATTTTATCTGGCGTTCGTCGTCCGTCTTTTCGTGTTAAGATTAACGTGTCCATCACCAAGATCACTTGGTTGACATGATCTAAATATAAGGTATATGTGTAGGAATGGTCTGGTTACTCATAATTGTAATTTGCAATTTTCGCTCTGATCTAAAAGTCATTTACACACCAGGTTTATAAGGGGTCTAGTGGGAGCCGTGTCTCGCATTTGAAAACTTTTAAACATTTTTCTCAGGAATATTCAGAACGGTAATAATAGTAATACTAGAGTGACTTTTTCATAAATAGATGCACCTGTAGTTAACTTGATGAAGTGTCCCCTAGATTTTTCTGAATCCTCCCCTAAAATATGCACTTCACAGAATGGTTGGTCTATAGTTTGTGATAAGCAGAAAGTTTTGTTGACATTGGACAAGAAACATTGACAGATGTTTACTGTGTTCAAGAGTATTACTTTTAATGTAAACAAATAATTCGTCTTTCACAAAATACCATAATAATGGAGAAAAGGTCAATATCAACTATGTAGATAGGGCTCATGGTTTAGAAAAAGTTTATTTGTAAAAAAAACCTAGAATAAGACATTTCCTTATTTTTAAAACAATAAAAAAAAAAAAAATCACCCTAAAACACAATAAAACTTGTATTTTGAAAATAAGATATAGTAGTTGCCTTGACAAAGTCTAGGTACATTTCGGAGATAAGGAGATAACGTTTATCAACATCATGTAGGTATTCATATGCGCAATAATTATGCCCCTTTTGTATTATATTTGTTCTTGTTTTGTTGTGAATATCAACTTATGACAAAACTCAGTTAAAATCCATCTAACTTCCTTGTTAAAAAAGTAGATAGTATAACCATTACCTTGAGGATTTTTTACTTTAAGAATTCAGAAATATCTATAATTTTACCTTGAAAATTAGCCTAAGGGAACTGGCTTTTAAAATTTCTAAAATTAACACCAATAATTGTCCTGTTCATGATTTGAATATTTCCCATCTACCTGATTACCTTTTCAACTGATGTAAATGTCAATTATATTTACACTAAAGGAGGAGGCCTAATAAGAGCTACCATCTGGTTCAAGAAATTATCAAAAACAGTAAAATTCTTCAATCCTTTCAAAACAATGATGAATTATTTGACAAAGCATTGGTATTGTGATTTAACCTAAAAAGTGCAGAAATATTACGACAATACAATTTATTTCCAGGTTGACCACAATTAAGGTTCTACAAGAGGAATATTTTCGACTTTTTTGGCTATTTTTTAGATACGTTTTGTTATATAACTCTACAACTTTTTCGGTTCTTATACATCCTTGACTTTCAAAAATTCGATTTTGAGCGTTTCTGAT